ATTCTAATTTAGTTTGACTAAAGATGGCCTTCTTGACCCCAGAAATTAGCTGTTTCTCTGACCTGAAAAATTATTAGGGATGAGCATGTTTTTCACATCAGTAGATAAGATTTAATATTAAGGCTTTAATTGGAAATTTCCTCTAAAATTGCTAATTTAAAATGATGATGACAATGATGCTAATTACCAAGAACTTACTCTTTGAAGAGAGCCCTAAATTATTAGATATGAATCCATTGTCTAATACAGTTCCATGACATGAGTACTATTGCCATTTCTATCATACAGAAGGAAAAAACTTGGCCACAGAGATTAAGTTGCCCAAGGTTACATTGGCAGGTTGAGATTTTAACCCAGTCTGAGCTAGAATCAGTGTTCTTAACCTTTGCTTATCCAGGTTCTATGTCTGGAGCTTCTGGGGCAACTACATTATATGGAGGAAGGCAAATAGTTCACCCTGCATCCAAGGTCAGCTCTGTCCATTTTTCCCTTAAATTGAATTGAGCTGTTTTCTCTTCCTACAACAGTGGTGTGCTGAAGTGAACTCAGATCAGTATGAGAACCTATTTTTAATTTTATTGTTGTTCTGGGGATTGAACCCAAGGGTACTAAACCACAGAGCCACGTCCTCAACACTTATTTTTTTATTTTGAGACAAGAAGTCTCACTAAGTTTCTCAGGGCCTCTCTAAACTGCTGAGGCTGACTTTGAACTTGTGATCCTCCTGTCTCAGCCTCCCAAGCCACTATGGGATTACAGGAGTGTGCAACCACATCCAGCTTGTTAATTTTTCATCAATACTGCTGCTAATTTATGTCACCTTGGTAGCCTGAAGTTGGGCATAATTTCTACTATACCAAATATTTGCTCTATGGTAATTGGTAAATACTACAAACTAGGACTATTTAACTTTTTGTTTAATTTTTAGGATGTGAGAGAGGATAGGTAGGTAAGATCCAGTTGTTAAACATTTAGTGGTACACAATCGCTTATAACCAAGAAAGTTTCAATTAGTACTTATGATAGATTACAATACATCAAGCCCAGACAATGCAAACATGAACTTCATCTGGGCTTTATCAATTTTCAAAACAAATTATTTAAAGTAGATGTCATGTACTTTATTTTAATATTGCCATCACAATGCAATATTTTCTTATATAAATAAGAAATTTATATTATTATTTATATTTATATTATTTATATATATTTATAAATAGCTTTCATGAGTAAAATACAACTGCAATGCAACACAGGTTTTAAGAACTTTTGCATAAACAAGTCAATGACTTGCTAAATAAATTGTTTTTATTCACACAAATTGTTTTTATTCAAATGGAAATTGGTCATTATTATTCCCTTGTGCTTGAAAGAGTAAAAAATGGTGCTAATTTTTGTAAAATTCACAGGGCAGAGATTCTTAAATCTTTTTCTTTACTTTTCACTAATTCTTTAAGAAAATCCACAGAAAATAATTAGGTTGGGGCAATAGAAACACTTATATAGATTTGAAAATATACTGAATGTTATCTTTGCATATTTTTGTAAAAGTTAGTCTTATTTAAACCTTAATTATACAAACAAAAATAATAATAAAATTCTTAAAAAGATATTCTGCACAGCAACTGGCCTAAACTCTTTTGAAAAGTCAATAAACTGAAAGGAAAAAAAAATCTAGGACTGTTTTAAGAATAGTTGGTCTTTCAGAGTACACTAACCTCTAATGTATACCGTGGGAGAAAGAATAAGCATTTACTATGCTTGCAAAGAAAACAGAAAATGTACTCAGAAACCCTTAGGGAATTTTTGTAATTATAGTAAATATTTACTGAACTATGTTTTCATAGCATTCTCAGTTGGTTTAGTAGTTATTTGCTTTTAAACTTTGAAATGATAATCAGAGAACTTAGAATGTTTCTTGAAAATCTTTGGTTTGGCAACCTTTAAATCTCTCTCTCAAAAGAGTTTAAAACCTTTTTAAATTCACTTGCAGGTTAAGTTTAAATTGCAAAGAATCTAATTGGTTGTTTGATATCCCCACAACCGCCCCTCCCCCCGAAAAAAAATCAAAACCTGCAAGAGTCCTGATAATTGCACTAAATACTTAGAGTTAGTATGCAAAGGCAAATCAACTAATGAAAAATTGCTTTTAGCAAAGCACCTCACACTGGAATAGTACAGCTGGTAATTTAGATAGCACTACTGTGTCTCCAACTCATCTACTTGCTATGGACTATGTGATGAATCTTAATTCATCAAGCAGAAGCTCTAGAAATTTCACAGGTTACATGTTCAAATACCTAAAAAAATTTTTTTAAAAATTTTAACCCAACCCAGATAGCACAGAGATAGCACAATGCTTTGTAAATACTGATATTTAACTAGTTGTGTTTTGATACCACATAATTTGTAACAACTTCACTTTTATGTTGTCTACTAAAAGTATAGTAAGGACGTGTAGTCCAGGAGAATACAGATGAGCTGGGGGAATACATGTAGCATGATTGGAAGTCAATATTATGAGTTCATTTGTAGTTTGAGAGAAAGTGCCAGAAAACAATCTGAAACTGGAAATGAGGACTAAAGAAATCTCTCATCTTGCCTATAGGTCCAGTGGTACTTAAATGCTGGGAGAAAAGATAGCGCTACAGGAAAACAGGATCCTCAGAGGAAACCCTTTCTTTTTAAAAATTTATTTATTTGTTTGTTTGCTTATTTATTTATTTATTTATTTATTTATTTATTGCTTCCTGCAATGGAGATTGATCCAGGGGCACTCTTCTACTGAGCTATAGCCCTCGCCCTTTTTATTTATTTATTTATTTATTGTTTTGAGACAGGGTCTCCTTAAGTTTCCCAAGCTACCCTCCAATTTGTGATCCTCCAGCCCCAGCCTTCCAAGTTGCTAGGATTAGAAGCATGAACCACAGTGCCTGGTGAAAACCATTCTTACATCAGAGTAGGAAAATTCAGAGAAGAAATAGTTAATTCTGTTGACATTGGAAGGTTGGGGAGGTGTGAGTGAAAAGGACAGAAGAGGAAAAGAAGTGAGTCACTCAAAAGAAGGGGTCTCTCTCTCCTATTGTCTGTTTTTTTATGACATAAGCAGAAGTAAAAGAGAATGAATTTCTGGTGAATTCAAAACACATAAGAGGAGATGAGGAAGCTTTGTTGGAGAGTGAGGTGAGTGTCTGGGGTGCCCTTTTGTCCCTGATAGATCAAGTCTAGGAGGTTTGGGGAAGCAGGATACTATCAATCTTTGGGTCACCTTATGCCCCTCTCATGATGAGGTCGAATGCTTAGAGGAAGGGCTTGGATTCTAGTTCACGGATCAAGGTTTGATCTATTGAGGGGAAAGCTTACTTCAAAAGTGTCAAGATAAGCTTTGACACCTGTTGAATTGAGACTTCCAGAAAAAAAAAAACAGAAGATTTTATCTTCAAATTTCAGAGTTAATTTCTAATAAATTAGAATAATGAACATATATCTACAGCACTTAGTCCAGGGCATACCTTGTGGTGATGATAAGGAGATCCTGTCTCAAAACAATAATTGTCAGTTACACAAATATTCCATCCTTCCTTTGCCCAGGGATACAATATTTTACTTTAGTCCTTAAAAAGCTATTTTTAAGATAGTAATTTTATCCTTAGACCACTAGAGAGCTAATCACTAACTATATATAAAGAACTTAATACATTTTCATGAAGTAGAATCATATCACATGTAAATTAATGGGATCAATTAATTAAGCACAATAACTTTCATCCCAGTAGGTCACTTATCAATAGTCATCTATACTTCCCTCTTTTGTCTATCAAACACCCAATTTTACTAAGCATCTTTGCTCCAGAAACTGTGCATAGTGGAGGTAACCAGTTATGATTCCTATCCTTGTGATGTTCACAGTCTAGTGAGGAAGGGAAACATTGATCAGATATTACATGTATGTACTATGAGGTTAGAGGTTTCCAAAAGTGCACACCAAAAGAATCTAAGGGTTTTTTTTTCCCCACCAAGAGATTTTACTGGGGGACTGCCTGAAGGGGAAGAAAAGGAGAGGCAGAGAGAGGAGAGGAGGAGAAGGGCAGAGAGAAAGAGAAAGAGAGCAGAGAGAAAGAGGAGGAAGAGGGCAGAGAGCAGAGAGGAAGAGGGCAGAGAAGAATCTAAGTGTTAATTATCCATCTGCTAAGGATTATCTGAAGCCAAAATTTCAAATACCCAAAGACCAATTTCTAAAGCCACTCCATCCAAGAAATTTGGTAACCATAGCAGGAGAGTGAAATGTCAAGGAAATCTTGACAGGTCCAACTTCTTCAGCAAGGTTCTTGCCATTTACTGCTTCTGGGTGTGTCTTCTGTTTCCCTTCCAGAAACTACTTTGTAGTTTGCCAGAAAATAGAGTCTCCAAATAATTTGGTTGAACTGTACCCTGGCTTTTGTAGCAATAGGATAACATTTGCTTCACGACTGTAGTCTTAGAAAGAACAGCAGAAGATAGCCACTCTGTAGAAGCAGAAGTGTTAATTGGCCAGGTCCTTGCTGGCCCCACCCACGAGACATGTTTCTGTCATTCACCAGAGACATCCATGAAGCTATTACCTCTGAGTTTGACTCTGATGTGTGATGTTTTGATTTTCTTATTACTTTGTCACTAAAGGTAGGCCCTTTGGGTAAAATGTAGACTTGTGGTACAAGTCTTACTACTAAGCAGGTAATGGTCTGCTTAGTAAGATCAGTAGTCATTTCATTTTTCGGATGATGTAATCTGTTTTCAACATACACAAAGTTCAACTCAATTTTTATCGTCATCTTTTAGCTACCGACTAGCTTATTCTAAACTTCATCTCATGATTCTTGATAGAATCTTCCCACACCATCCATTAGCTACGAAATTACATTGCTCACCTTGTTGTACTTTTATGTGTCATTCTATGCTACTACTCCAAAACCAGATTATAATCCAGTATGTCCAGGTTATTAGAATACAGATATACTCACTGCTACTTGGTGGCAAAAATAATCCATTGATATTTCGAGGTTTGCTGTGATAAAAGATACAACTGATCTTCACACAACCAAGAGGCTGAGTTTCCCAAAAACATGAAATGCTGCAATTTTGCTAGACAAAGGAAGGGGGAGATGCAAGGATTAGATGCCATGTTCACAATAAAACAATGTGCTACACACAACCAATGTGACAAAATAACTGCAGTTAGTCATTTAGAATCAAGTGTTCTCTGGTTTTCAGTATTTCTAAGCTTTGCTATTTAAAAGATGCAATGGTATTTCAAAAACATGTTTCTCCATTTTTCTCAGAATTTAAGATGAACAAAGTGAAAAATACCTAAAATTAAATAGTGGGAGGAAGATTCATTTGTTTTCTATTCTGTCATAAAAGCATAATATAAGATTATTGAAATGAGATGCTTTTAACAAAAATGATGATACTGAGTAATTTTACCTGCATTTCCATGTGTCTAAATCTGCAAAGTGGATCTAAACATTTTCTCTCTCTCCATAATGAGCACACAGTGTCACTGCCAAGGGCTTCTTCACAGTGTCGAAATCGGCACTGGGAACCCTACAAAGAAAAGTAAACAGTGTAGAGAACTCAACATATTAAACAGTAAATTCTGTGAGCGTTTAACAAGAATTGGTTGCTAATTTTTAAAGGAATTATGAGTGTATCAAATTAGAAGTGTAACAAAAACACACTACCCATACAGGACCACAAGTCTACATTTTAGCCAAAGGGTCTACCTTTAGTGAGAAAGTTGATAAGAAAATCTAATGATTCAACAATACAATAAGCCACAATTTGCTCACAAAATGCTACTTTGGTTGTCAGTTAATCACAAAATGCATTATGGAATAGAAAATGGAGATAGGAGACTGGTGATATCCCTGACCACACCAAGAAAAGCAGACAGATATTTTAGGAATCACTGACCATATTATAACTGTGGAGACAATCTCTATTGTTCAGTCCTTTCAGATCATCTGTTTTGTTAATCTCTGGTGGCACTGGTAAGTGTATTTAAATGGGTAAAGTGAAAGGAGTTTAAACTCTATTATTGTGGAATTTTAAGTAATTACCACGTCATGCTGCATAATATACATGCTTTATGACCTTAGCCTACAAACAATTGCCTATACCTATATATGTACACTGACACTTTTATGTACCAACAAAACAGATATAGATTATTTCAATGGGCTGCTATTACTATTTTTAATATTAAGTTCTTGTACACACAGATGCACAGTTGCAAAACACTGCAGGCCACGAGGGACATAGAATAAAAATATTCCATTAAATTCTTCCCTCTTTTGACACGTGTTCCTGGTTGTTTCTTATCTTTTAACTACCCTCTATTTTTGGCTTCTCTCTCTTTCTGTTTTAAAAGGGTAGTGTGCAGAAGTTTTGGAGTGAGATAAGCTGGTATCTGAAATCCCTGGTTTTACTTCTTGCCCATAGCCACAAAGATAAAATGTACCCTCTCTGTGCTCAGTTTTCTCATGTGTAAAAAAGAGAATAAAATATGTGACATAAGGTATTGTGGTTGCCATTTTTAAATAATTATTTATTGAGGACTTAATACCCATCAGTCTCTGTGCTAAGTACTTGGTGATAAGTAGAGAAAAAGAAAAACCTCTTTTCCAACCTGAAACATAAATTCTATTATTATTTATCATCCCACAATTTAATCTGAACATAAAAGAAGACAGAAGTCAATTTAGTTCCTGTGGTCAAAAAGATTGACTTCAAATTTCCTAGCAGAGATAAACATATTGAACTAAATACATCTTCCCTTTCACTGAGTTCAGACTAGCACAAGCAGGAGGTCCCAAACATCAAGTTTCTATATCTATTTGGTTTTAATGCGATCCATTAAACCTAACCTCATTTTCCCCACTTAACTTTACAAACTTTATATTTGGTTGGTTTGTTCATATTATATTTCCCCTTTCACATAATATTTAATTATTTGCTGATACTTTTAACAGAGGAAATTCAGTAATTATGTTAATAAATTTCAGATAGAGAAATAGGTTTATTATACTAAATAAATTCAACTATTTGAATTTATATGACTGGAATCACATTAAACAAAGCAATACAATATATCATATAATGTTGTGATATTAGGAATTTGATATCTCAAGGAGCCATAATATAGCAAAAGTACCACATAGAGATTAAAAAGTCAAAGACACATAACTGATATTTAAGGGTAATTTTAAACCAATCATAATTTAAAATTATCTCAGATTTCCCCAGAGAAATTCAGTATACCAAAAATACATGATAAACTTTTACTTCAGATTTTAAGTATATAAAATATCTTGTGGGAAAACAGTACATTTTGATTCAGCCATGCAAATTATTGCCATATCTTCATTTTACTAAATAGCTTAAGCATGTGAAGTACTGTAAATTGTACAATATTTACCTTTATGCATGTGGAATTAAAAAAGAAATAGCAGTCATTCCCAACTTCTGCCATTTTCAACTCTCTTGCTGCTAATCCAATGATTGTTTATATATAAATATATAAGAATTGCAGGAATGAAAATATAAGAACTATCAGTGTGTAAGGGGGAAAAAGAATTTCTTTTCCACAGTCTTTCAGGCTATCAGTAGCATTCCTTTAAAATTGACCTCCTGTTGATAGTATATTACACAATAGATAATTCTTAAATAAACTTAAATTAGAAGATACCTTCTCTAGCTTTGCAGAAATGTTGAAAGTGGTTGCTAGTAAGCACACAAACTCAAACTTCCAGAATTTTCCCCACTGTTACCTAATCCATTGTTTGCTCATCATAAATGACCTCACCTGTAACTGTAGGCTAGTATACTTGCAGGCTATTTTCCCTTACTCAATTTTGGTTTATTAACCCAGAAAGTAAAAAATAAAGTAGTATATTTTATTTTTTTCAATGTTCTGATTGAATATAAAACATAGTTTATGTTTTCACATTTAAAAGTAGTATAAATATTTCATAAGTAAACAGCTATTTCTAAACTATTTTCTTTATATTCTGTGAAAACAAAACTAAAAATTTTAAAATAGAATATGTAAATATGCTATCCATATTCAAGCAAATAAGAACAATTATTTAAATATTGTACTACAATATGAATATAAATTAGACCAATTATTCACTTTGTAGTTTTATCTCATTTCACATACATCAAAAAAGGAATGCTTTCTTCCTATAGCAGAAAGTTTTCAGAGAGATTGAAAATTTGAGTATTCTGATTCACAGAATGAAACATTTCGATCAGTAGTTACTACAATCCTTATGCTACTGTCTTACTGAATGAATCAAAACTTGGCAGAAATCAATAAAAATGTTCATCATAGGCAATTAGGAGGTTTCCAGGGAGATGACAGATTACAGTAGATTAAAACAGCAATATCATTTTAATTGGAAATTTCAAAGATCATGACAAATATGAATTTCCACTTTGGTTAAGTTAAACAGGCTAAGTTGGTATGAACCTTTTTGATACAATGTTTTTTAAATCAAAATCTAGAAGACAAAATAAGAATCTAATATTTTAAAATGTTGTTTGCCTAAAACTGTTAGATAAAATAATGAAAGAATGAACTAAATAGTACAATAAATAAATAAAGAGTAAATAAAGTTTTGGCTAAACCCGTGAAAATATTTGCAAAGATATACAGAAAAATATATATTGTCTTTTGTTTAGCCCTCCTTCTAATACTAATTCTACTATTATTTAAATTTATTTTATTCATACATCTGGAAGAAAAATCATTAAGTGGTAAATCTGTCTACTTTTGAACTTGGAATGTCAATGGACTGTATTTAAATACTAACACCATTAGTGTATAATTAAGTGATTTTACATAGGTGGAAAAGAAGGGGAAAAAAAGCATTTTTACCTCTTGAAATTAGGTGCCAACAGCCACATTCAATTAGACACAGCAAAAGCAGGTCAAATCCACAAGATTGCTTCATTGCAGAGCACATTAATAGAATCTGTACATTTTGGTAATCTTAAGGATACTGGAGTTTTATCTTCTTTTAAGAATTCTCTCTTCTATTATTTTTCTTTCTTCATTTCTATTCTTTCCTGTTGCAAATTTCCCTTACAGAAAGCTATCATCCTATGCATGAGGATTTTTATTATCTATAAAGAAAAGTGATAGGAACTTTGTCTTTTCACCTAGGAGTAAGAATGAAAATTCTTATGCATTTTCTGTTGGTTAAAGCAGAGTCACCCTGAGTGTCCTCCTTCTTGATGCATGTTAGAGTAGTGACCCATCAGTCAGAGATAATTTTTTTTTTCCAGTTTGTAATCCTTTAACAACACTTTCGTGACTGGTAGCAACTTCTTGTTCTCTTTGGAGATTTTAAGAATCAGGTGAAGCTGATGATTGTTACCCATCATAGTAGGTGTCTGGTTTAGAACTGTGATTTGATCCTTTGGCTCTTTCCCTGAGTGTTTCTACCAGAGACTTTGTTCTGGTTGCTGATAAAACTAAAGTACTGGAAACAGGGCTTCATGAAAGGTGATTAGCTTTGCTTCTACTATTCAAAGAACAAGTAGAATGTTTTGAAAGATCATATTTTCTCAGAAATAACAGAATGTTGCACCTAGAAGATTCTGAGGCAGTTTGAGAAATGACAGTTGCTAGTTGTGAAAGTTACTTATTGTCTCTTCCAGTCTCACAAGGTGACAAAACCATTTTTTAGAGTTCCTCTGGAGGAAAAAAGTCACAGAGTTCTTAAATCTAAAATGCTAAGATGTTTCTAGTTCCAAATATCACAGAACCACCATCATATTTTCTCTTCTATTTTTTTTTTTAATTTGGGGGTGGTGGTTGTGTTTTCCTAGGAAAAAAATACAAGAAACACTTTGAAATGGCGAATTTTTTTCCCTCCCACCCTTCCCTGTATATCAAAAATCTGAACTTCCTTTTTAGGAATATTTCATTCTTTGGGCGTCCCTTTATTTTACAGATAGCTTCAAGTGAGATTGTTTAATTTTTCTAAAGGCTATGTCTATGAAATTCTGGACAGTTGGACACATGTAGACAACATAATTACAAAAATTACTGGGCCTATCCAGGCACATAAATGATGTGTAAAGTCAAAATTTCCTTAAAATTTAGGCTGAGGACTACTAACTGCAATGAGTTAGTCTACTATTATTTAAATTTATTTTATTCAGTCATTGTCTTTATCACTTACTGGCTTTATCACTTATTTTGAAAAATGTCAAATAAGATTTTTTTTGTTCTAATTTTTTAGCTCATGACAACTATTCATGTCATTTATTGGAACTCAACTTCAATTAAGGTAAATAAGAATCTTATAAGAAACTCAACAGTGTGATATGGTTGTTTGTATTCCTGTGGTTTTGGATTGGTGAAACGTTAACACTTTGCACTCATTCTGGAAAGTCTATCAGAACCAATTTCAAACATATTATATGCTGCACTGATAAAAGCAATTCAAAGGGTATTTTCTTTTCTTTTTTCTTTCTTTCTTTCTTTTTTTTTTTTTTTTTTTTTTTGGTCTCAGGTGTTTTAATTGCAGCGTTTTCTAAACTTCTATAGCGCTTCCCCCACGAAAAAGCAAGTTTCACTACTAGGGTGTTAAATCACCATCTGTAATTACTGATCACTTACAACTTGACACTGTTTAATTTTCGACAATGTCATCGGTTACTAGGTGTGGCCACGTACACAGCGACGGAAACGGACCTTGTTTTTTTTCAGTCATCAAAACTGGGGGGGCACACGTGGGAGCGCACACCCTGGCGCCTCGGCGCCGCACTACAACTCCCAGAAAGCGCCGCGGCCAGGAGGCCGCTTCCGGTCCGTGTCCCCGCCCCTGTCTCGGGTAGGCAGTCTCGGGGCGACGTCGCTGTCCGTGGGTGCCGAATGTGAGTGATCTGAACCCGCATAGGACTGCTGCTGCTCTCTGTTGTCCAAACCCGGAGCCTTTTGGCAGTGAGGTCGCTCACCGCTTCTGGAGCCCACCATGAGACGCTTGGGCTCCGTGCAGCGGAAAATGCCGTGTGTGTTTGTGACGGAGGTGAAAGATGAGCCTTCCGCCAAAAGGGAGCATCAGGTACCGCGCACCGGCTGTGTTTGAATCGGGCAAAGGCGGCCAGCCCTGCAGGCCGGGAGTTTTTTGTAGGTTTCGCTGGGGAGGTCTGCGTTGGGAGTCAGAGTGTCCTGAGTTCCTAGTTCCCTTGCCTTCCTAATCGTAAGGAGACGGATTCTGGGAGGAATTTTTTCCTGATCCGGCGATTCGAGCTTGCCCTCGCAGGGAAATGGAAAACCCACACGTCCTAAATAACATTTCTTTCTTCTCGGGTTAGCAGTTTTGAGGTAAAACCCTAAGCAGTCAGACAGTCTCTGCAGCTCAAGCCTGACGACTTTTCGAGAGTGTGATGAGAAAGTGCAGGTGATACTAAAAGATTTGCCTTATGTCTTCTAACCTGGGAATAGATGGCAGTGTTGACACCTCTCCCAATTAGGTCACTAAAGATTAGACTTGCTGTATTGTTACCACTTTAACTAATTTTGGTGTTCTATCTCAAGGTTTTCTATTCGCCTAGCAGCATCTTTTACATAGTGGACCCTCAGAAAATGCTAGTGGGTGAATACTAAGTAGTCTACATCAGGATGATTCTTTAATAGGTAACAAAGTCCTTGAGAGGGGGAAAAAAAGTCCCTGTTAGCGGGGTGTTTGCAACTAAAACGAAATCAGCATGTTCATTTTCGCCATTAAAAGTGGTCGTCTTGTCTTTTAGACTAAATGGCCATTAGAATAGATACTGCCCTGTTATCTATAGTCTCAGCTTCTAGGACCTGACACATGGTAGGCACTGGATAAATATGTTGAATTAAAAAAATGAACTCTGGAATCAAGTCATACCAATTTTCTGTTCAACCTTGATGCTAAATTTTTACTTTTAATATCTGATCATTCCATAGTCTTTTCTGCTGCTATTCTTATTATAGTTCTTAATATTTATTACTTGCTACACAGAATGATCATCACCATGTTCTTCCCTAGTCAAAACCTTATAGTTACTACTCAATGTCTATAGCAGTACTTGTCAACTTTGTTTTTTGTTTTAATGACAAATGCTTTGTCATTCTTGATAATGGCTCACTCTATGATTCTAAACTTTTTATGTTCAGGGAGTAATTTGTAAAACTTACTAACAGAAAAATAAGTTCCTTATCACTCTGCAGTTAATAGTAGCTTATGGTATTGTAGCATAGCATCCACATTCTTATAATTCAAGGCCTCCTATTAATTAGGCCCCATCTACTCTCTAACCTTTAAATGAGGTCTCTGTTTTAGCAAAGTGAACATACTGAGTAATCCTCTTTATTTTTGTTCAGGCTATTCACTTTGCTTGGATCACCTACAGAGTTGTTTTAATTTTTCCAATTTTTATCTTCTCCATAAAATCTTCGATCAACTTAATTATTCCAGTGATTTCCCTTGCCCAGAAATTGTAGAGTTCCACCCAATCCAAATGATATGACATGCCTTGTTTTTCCAGTCATCACCTAAAGTCTGATGATAGGTAGAGAAGGGGAACTTTCTGTACTCCTCTGTGTCTTGTCTTGTCCTTTGGCTGTGTTGAGAGCAAGAGAGATATAACGGTTCTATGGAAGGAATATTTTGTATTCATCAAAAACTTAATGGGCATAGTAATCTCTCTAGGAACTTGCTAAATTTAAACACACACACACACACACACACACACACACACAGAGCTATTGGGTCAGCTCCTTTGGCTTTACTATTCTAGTTAAAACTGATATCCTCTGATATCAGAATCATATGTTAGTGATAATCCCCATTCAGATATATCTTAAAAGAACTGAATCATTACTAAAATGGGGCTGATTTCCTAGTTTAGTTCACTCTATTTGAAATATACTCTATACACCAGTATATGGTTTATATTTTGCATTGTTTTTCACATTGTAAGGTAAATGTTAACTTCAGACTTAGATTACAAAATGTAGTCATAAGTTTTGTTTCAGAAATGAAAATAACAAAAGGTTGGGAGGAACATTAGAAATTGTCTTTTCTTCCATTCCTGATGCTTTTTGATTTTTCTTCCTGACAGAAGAAAAGCCATAATTTAAATATATATTCAGTTTACTGTTGATAAAGATGAAAGGGATATGAAGTGAATACTCTCAAACAAAATCTAAGGAAAAAAAAGAAAAGTAATTCTTAGTAGATTTAACAGTGAAAACTGTTAGGTTAAAACTATGAATAAATCAAAATCAGCCTCTACTATTGAGTATGCATTGTGTAGAGAATAGAACTTGAATGATACAGTACAAGACCTAATATGGCACAGTGGTCCACCTTTGGCCATTAAGAGACTGGATTTTCCATTGTCCTCTATTTGAGGGCTCTCACAAAAGGTGATGCTAGTGAGTCTTATTCCTTCTGTATACTCTACCAGGACAACACATTTTACAAACTAGATGCCCAAACTTTGTGGAATGAGTGACAACAGAGATTTTTGGATTTACATAATGAAACTTCTGAATACTACATTCAAAATAAAAAGATTCATGAAATGATATGATGTTATCAGCTAACTGTGAAGAACACTATTGTCAAGGTGAAACCTAACTCAGAAGAAAGAGATTTTTTTAAATAGAGGCAATTTTCATTTTGCTCTGGACTTTTTTGAAAAATAAATAAATGTAAACAACCACAGTTGATATAGCTCAGAAATTTAACTTTATTTAAAAATTATTTTTAATTGTAGACGGACACAATACCTTTGTTCATTTTTATGTGGTGCTGGGATTGAGCCCGGTGCCTCACACATGCTTGACAAGCGTTCTAACACTGAACCACAACCCCAGCCCAACTTTATAATATTTAAAGATCTCTCCAATACAAGAAGTCATTGTTAATAGTAAGAAATCGTAAGAGGTTAATTTTCCTGTCAAGCAGGTATTTTCAAAAGAACTTTATAATGCATCTCAACAGTTTTAAAATGAAAATTGAATCAGGCATAAATTTATCCTGGAAATTAAGATGGCTTTAAAGTCTATAATCTAAAGTATTTAAGCAGAGATGCAAGATCTTTCACAATGGATCAAAGGTGAAATATTAAGAAAACAATATTATGTTTATAATACAGTTGAAGAGGAAAAGTGTATGAAACAAGTAAATTCAGAAAGCATTCTGATTGGCCTTTTAAAAAAATGTTCTGTTGAAATAGATATGAAAGATAAAAAGACAATGAAAAAGATACTGAAATTATGCCCTTGGTTTCTTTGTGATTGTGTCTGAATAATGAGACTATGGTGATTTCTTGTTTATGCTTTTATATATTTTAACTTTATAAATGAGTATGTGAGTTTTCGTTTTCCAAGAAAAAAGCAAAAACAGAATACAGCCCTCTTCCATAGCTCCCTTGCCTGCTCCCTGAGAATGTGGCCTGAGGCAGGAAGATTTCACGAGATTCTTGCCAAACTTATAAAGAACCACTTAATTAAAAAAACAAATTTTGTAAATAACTGAAATGTTTCTACTTATAAAAGAGGGGGAAGGAATCATGTATTGAAGAGTAGATTCATTCTTTTTTTTTTTTTTTTTTTTTTTAAAGAGAGAGAGAGAGAGAGAATTTTAACATTTATTTATTTTTTCTTAGTTCTCGGCGGACACAACATCTTTGTTGGTATGTGGTGCTGCTGAGGATCGAACCCGGGCCGCACGCATGCTAGGCGAGCGCGCTACCGCTTGAGCCACATCCCAGCCCCCAAGAGTAGATTCATTCTTGGAAAACTGAAAAGTGTTTTTGGGAAATACTTGTATTGAACCACCAGAAATACCTAGGAATCGTTTAAAGTTCACTTGATTTGGTTTTACTTTACACTTCATTCCACATACAGTGGCTAACTTGCATTCTGCAGAAAAGTCAAGAAACCTCAGACTTGGGGTCTCTTTTCTCCTCAGATGTTTATATGGTGTATTCCTTCACTTGAGAGTGCTCAAATGTCGCCTCCTCAAAGAGGGCTTCCCTGTCTACCATATGTAAAATAGTATCTTATCCCTGTCTTTGTCCCATTTTTTGCTTTAGCACTTATCATACCTATTACTATATTATGCATTTTATTTCTATTATATTCTTCATTAAAAAGCAAGTTTCAACAAAAGCAGGTACTTTTTTTTTGCCTTCTATATTTCCATTGCCAATGACAGTGTTTAATAGTAGGCATTTCAGAAATAATTGTCTAATATATTGTGCATATTGAACAGCTGTGTTATTATGTGTGAAAGAAGAAACAAATAATTTATAGTCTGTGAAAAATCAGGTTTTGTTGTAATAACAAAATGGAGGGGGGTGATTAAGGAAAACTTCACAGATATTTTTAAATTATCTTAAGGAATGGACAGGAAATCATCCTTTAGAACAAAAAAGTTAGGAACATTTCAGGTGAGAGTATATGAGAGGGCAGAGGCTGTCTATCTTAAACCAGTTTTCTTTCTTTCTTTTTTAAGCCATTTAAAGTTTTGGCAACTGAAACTGTAAGTCACAAGGCATTAGATGCAGATATATACAGTGCAATTCCAACAGAAAAAGTGGATGGAACATGTTGTTATGTTACTACCTACAAAGGTAAAATAAAATTGTAATGTTTCCTACAAGTATTTCTTTATTGATTATTTTAAAACTATATAAATCTGAAATGGGCATTTACTCTTCATAAACCCTTAGAAGCCTTAGTAACAAAATTAAAATGTGATA